TCTAAGGGAATTCGGATTTTCCTAACCAATACCCGCTAGATCGGAAAGGATATCGATTGAACAACTAAGTTCCAAATGAAAACTAATGGCGCAAGACGATAAGTCATCCCCTTCTGAGGTCAGTTCCGAGTCAGTCGGTTGACTTATCAGGCATCCTCATTAATTTGAACATGCATACTGTTTTCGTAATTCTAAACCAACTTTTACGTCCAAACAAATTGAGTGACAAGTTGAATGGCACAAACGGCTTATTGGTCAGTCGTCTTCTCATGGGGGTGTCGTCTCTCAACACTGGGATAATTCAGAACGAAACTATCACAGCCACACTTGAAGTAAGCTGTACAGTATCATCCGAGAGTACAGGAAAGCAGCTCAAGGCAGATGACACATGTGTAATTTTGGATTCGATTGCTGGTGTTCGCTGGGCTTGACAACCCGAGCTAACAACATTTTTCTCCATTGGGTTTCATGAAGCTGTTCAACCCGAATTTTCAAAAAACCGATCCGAAGTACACCGTTTATCACATGTAGGCAATTCGTTCAGATTAATCCTAAGCTGACATTCCATCGGTGAGTGAGTAACACGCATAGGGGAGTAGTGGGCAAATTGTGACCTAACTAGTTTGGGGTAGTATCTGTTAACTTAGACGGTGGTACCTCAGGTTGTAACAACGGCTGTTGGTTCATTCGCTAAGTCGGGCAATTCGGTTGCTAACGTCTCACCACCGGTCGAAGTGACGTCATCCCTGCGCTGTGATTGTATTTGCACTGAGGTACAAGACACTAGAGGGAAGTCCTAGAAACACGACACCCCAATAAGTATTCAATCAACTGGCATATCGAAATCGGTCGTCTGCGCGCCGCTACGAACGAGGAACCGTCAACTCAAAGACAACACTAAGTCAGGTTCGGCTGTCAGAACAACGGACCAATAAACGGGACTAACTATGGAGACAAACGAAAAAAGGTCACAAAGGACCAGAGAGGCCAAACCCTAAGGCTAATAAGGCATTCACCAGTCATAAAACAGGTCAACCAACAGCTCAATAGGAATGCTCACCCACACGATCAAGGTCGACCTGAGTGAGTAGACCCTACATCGATCCATTCATGCGTAGCAACACAATTCCAACCTCAACAAACTGATGATATCACTTCGACTGGTGATGAAACGTTCGCAAAAAAATTTGCTCAGCTCAGCAAACAAATCACCGGCCACAGTAGATAGAGGGCGAGATGGCTCAAGTGGTTAGAGCGCGAATTTACTGACCGGAAAGTCCGTGGTTCGAACCCGACCTGTCTTTCGACTTCCGCTGTCTAGGTTTGGGCAACCTGACAGTATCCCAAACCTCGTGCTTCCTTAGGGTGGCATGGCAGCTAGACAGCGAAAGGGTGTTACGGCTCAATGATGACGCACGAGACCACATTAGATTGTGACCATCCAAAATCAGCGAAAGTAAGCAACGGAGCGAGGATCGGCTGCACTAGTAGTCGGAAATTGAGAAGCGTATTGACAAATGATCATCAAACAAAAGTAGTCTATTTCATGTACTGACTGACCAACTTGGTACAAATAAAATAACAACTCGACGAGTTTGTTTTGTTCTTGATATAGTCAAAGATGCAGTGAAGAAAGGAGTTGAGTAGAGGGACGTAGATAAGAGAGCCAGGAGATCTGTCTGACAAGGGAGCTAAACTCTGTTGTTGTTTTAATTGAAACACCCACGGATCACTGGCGAGGGCGTAATCTTCGAATAATGGAGACGGTCGCCCAGTATACAAACAGAAAGTAGCGGTGGGCCCAATGGCGCGCCAGAGAGAGAGTGCCGGCGTGGATGCACGCGGTTCACAGCCAACGAGTGATAGGGGATCCACGATTGGGTGAAAGGGAGTGTTGACGAGAGGCAGCAACTAAATCAAGCCTTTCATACAGAGTTGTAAGACTAAGCGGTGTCACAGAGGGACATTGTGTGTTTGTGTGATATCGTAGTATTAGCACATTTAACCACATTGGGTATCATGGACGCGGATAAAACGATACACAGTGTATGAGTGATAGACCAGGTGCCTGTTGGATGGGAGCAGAGTGTAGGAAGGAGGAGGATAGGGGATCGACAAACGACCGACAAAACCCATCATAGATATCAGAGTAAGCACAAAATAACTGATTAAGCAGTAAAACGGATAATAGAATAGTCGCACTAGTAAGAATACCAGTTACTGTGATTCTCTAGCGAACAGACTGAACAGGGTTGAGGGTTGGGAAGTGAGTTGTGAGAACACAAAAATAGCTTATCTCTCTTTTGATCAATAGTGAAAAATAATGAATCCATCAGATTAGAGTTTGGACTGGGGGGGGTGGGGAAAATCGAAAACAGCAATACACCATGAAAAATAATGAACCCATCAGATTAGAGTTTGGACTGGGGGGGGGGGGGGAAAATCGAAAACAGTGCTCAATACACCACATACAAACTCGTCAGTGACCTTGATTGGATAGGAACCGAACAAACGAGAGCATTTCCATCCCAACAGAACAAGCAGTGGAGATAACGTCAAACGATGCTACTTTCAACACTATTGCTACCAGATAATATTAATAGTACTAAATTTTATAATAGAAAGAAACAGCGCGAGGTCATGTACTGGATAATCGAATGCGTGACAAAAATGAAGTAGTTAGTCTCTGCGTAACAACAAAAAAGGAGAGAGGAGAAAGAAAAAGTTCGCCTTCCATGTGGAAAGCCGTCTACGACGTGTATTATTCGTAGAAAAAAATCAGTAGCTCTATATTATTATTATTAGTAGTAGTAGTAGTATTATCGGTGCAACCGCTGTCACTATAGATTGCAGTCGGTAGTATCGGTTCTGGTGGAAAAGCACTATAGAAGTAGGTCTGAAGTGAAATAGACACGGAACAAGGAGTGGATCCTACCGCAATTCTAGGGGGGGAGGGGATCGGCTGCAGTCAGGGGAAGCACATGTTGGTGCCTCAACGATGGCAACATTGCACAACAAAGGGAGGGAGGAATGACAGAGGACCCTATATAGACAAACTGAGTGTGTGCAAGTTAACAACAGTTTGAGTGAACGGGGTAGTCAATGAGACAGCAACAGCCACACCGGTCCACCTATTGCCGGTCGTGAAGAGCACACGGAAATGTTCACAGATTAACTACGGAGGACAACGCAACGACAAAGAACAACGGTGTAAGCGATATGCCCAACAATGTCCTGACGACAGGAGGATCGGTAGGAGACGAAGGTGGTGGATCAGTGTCAATCATCTGTCAGAGCACCGGGAACGTTCACGCTACGCCACCTCTTAATGTGTGAGGTTAGAACACAAAGAAAATATTGGACTCGACTATGAAATCGCGGGAAAGGGAGGTGGGGGGGAATGAGCGAAGTGGCAGA